TACCTTAACTTGAATCGGCTTGCTTTCAAAGCGCTTTTTAAAGAGCCCTTTTTTCTCCGCGGTCACTGTTGTCGCGCTGCTGCTGATGTCAGCGACACAGTTTAATCAGGCGCGCTTTAGTGGACCGCGGTTTTGTCGTGCCACGGATTTTAAAACAGTGAACTTCACAGCCATCAGAGCTATTCAAGCCGCGTTTATATTTCAAGTCAGCAAAAGACCAATTTTAAATAGCTGCTGCCTTCCGAAGCCTTTATGCCCCAAGAGGGCTTACAGGCATAGACCCACAAGGCTCCTGCTCCTAAAAGGGGCTTAAGCCATCCAGGGTCGCTTCCAACATGTTATCCAATGTACTCCATTCAATGTACTCACAAAGCCAATATCTCAAATTTTCTTTTCAGTCAAGAACAAAGCAATGATGCATCCATCCTCGTTGAGGGACTGAGTCGGAACTGGGCTTTGCCTAGCGACAGGGGTGTGGTTTCAACAACTGTCAGGCTCAGTCCTTGCAATGAGTGGATGAAGGTCAACCCAGTCTGGATGCTACCTCCACCACTATGGAGAAAGCCTGGTTCTAGTTATCTGTCTCTTTTCTCTCTAGGGTCAACAAGTGGATTTAATTTGACTATATTTCTGTGACTTTTCTCATGCTTAAAATATGCACTACTCATAATATGTGACAGCCTTCCACACATGATTGCTGTGGGTAATTTGGTATGGCTTTCCACTATGGTTTTATCCTTTCTCTACCCATCTAAAAAGCTGAACTCCAAGTCTATTTTCTCTTCTTAGGTATCTGGTAAATGACCCCAGTAATTGCCTATGAAGATTCATCTGATCTTCCATTGGGCCTTGCCCTTTATGTTTTAAATGTATTCCTCCATTTCCTTTTATATTTTTAAAAAAAAGAATACGAGCATTGTAAACTGCATTCTAGATGTAGGAGAAGATGGCTTGGATATCTGATTCATTGGAAGAGCTACCCTGAATTTGGGAAAGCAAAACTCCGTGGCCCATATCATATATACAAGTTTCATCTGAAATTTCCTTATCCAAGTCACAGCCCTGTAATCAATCAACACTATCCATGGACAGTGAAGGGCGTATGTCTGTAGTTAGTTCCCATGGCACCTTGCCAATGTGATCAATCATTACTATCCATGGACAGTGAAGGGCGTATGTCTGTAGTTAGTTCCCATGGCATCTTGCTAATGGTTTCTTTGCACAGAGAATGGGGAATAAGTCTGAGATGGTGTAAAATAGTATGGAGATAGCCATGAAGAAAATATTAAACAGCCTTTAGGTAACCAGATTACAGACCAAATCTATCTCCTCCCCCTCCCACATTTGATTCCCTATGCATAAGTTTTGTAATGGCATCTATATACCATGTCTCATTGGACTGATTTCTAACTTTGGATTACCGTTGTTCAAGCTGCTAGTGATCACTCTGTATTTGCTCTGAATACATGATATGTTACAGACTATGCAGAAACCATTCTCCATTCAAAGGGCAAAGAACCATTCAAAGAGCAAGGTACCGGTATATAGCCTGGAGATTGTGGTAGAATATCCAGCTAAATCGAGGGAAGTGTTAAGATGGGGCTGATCTTAGAGTCCTTGCACTGCAGAAAGCAGCACAGGCCTTATCTCCCCCAGAATCCCTGAAGTCTTATATGACTGTTCACAAGTGAATATAATTAGTCTGGTGAGATTCTTGTAAAATAGCTGACTAATAATAAAACTTCTATTTGAGACTATTCATGAGAACTTCTCGTTGCTTGAGCCTGAGAGAAGTAAATCAAGACCAGGGGTTCACAATTTTTTGGCTGGTGAACATACTTGAATTTTGAATGCTTGGGTTGGACCATAGAATTATCATGGAGAGGACATGCTGATTGATAGAATGATTCCAATATTGGACAAGCTAATTACAAAACAAACAATCTAACAATAAGTCAGGAAAGGAAAAGAAATGGAGATGTTTGTTGATAATCTGGCATTCATGCGCACCATTTAGAACAGTGACAGTGAACATATGACATGTATGTACACCATGACATTACGAGTGACACACTGGTATTTACTCCAGCGTTTGTCAGCATCAATAAATATACTCAAAAGCATGGTCTGTTCTTACATAATTTTCAGAAGTTCTAGAGATACTCTTGTGTAGCCTCCAGACCTCCCACCAATCACCTGAGAAGGCCATGCTCTTTCATCCAAAACTTCTGGAAATTGTGTGAGAATGGGGCATGCTTTCACGTAGTCTTCAGAGGTTGCAGAGTCTGTGGAAGAGCATTCTCCAAAGCCACTTCAAGAACGAAGGCCTCGTGTGACCATAGCAGTCTAGGGTAGTTGGCAGGTGGCTGTTAACAGGAAGAGAACACCATCTGAAGTTTCATGGGGCAGATCTTGTGAACCATTGGATTGCAAGGGCAGTCATGCCATTCCCTAAGGCTCTTGCACCTTGAGAAACAGGTTCAGGCAGCCCTTTTGAATGGCAGAGGAAACACTAGGATTAAAGCCAAGACTCAGGCCTCCACTTTAGGCCTAGCCTCAGCGCTGCTGTGGTTTGTGTGCCATTGAGTGCACACTGGGATGGACTAGTGTGTGAGTGGGAGGTAGAGATATGAGGAGCTTTTTGGTGTCTGTCTCTCTCTCTGTGTGTGTGTGTGTGTGTGTGTGTGTGTGTGTTATGCTAGCAGAGTCAAATTAGGCATGCTCAGAATTTTTGAAACGTCAGACCCAAAAGTTTTGCTATTGCTGATCTAGCGAGACAAGTGCTATATCTAAAGAGTGCCTTTGATCAGCTTTAATTGATATGCTAGTGGTGTTTCTATGTAAGAAAATTAGCCTTTGGCTACTTTCTCCAAGACTGAAAGCATCAGTTTCATTCCTTAAATGACCCTCAGAATGGGGGAAAAAAAAGAGTCCAAAACTTGCAGCCTCAACACTTTTAGTAGGAAATAAACCCTATAAAAATGGTTGCTGAGTCTTGTTTTAGACAGCATAAATGGATTTTGGATAAGCTGTTTTTTCAACTTTGCTATTTATTCCAGTTTTCATAAACATGAGATCAAGGTTCCTGAAAGGTTACCATCAGTCACTGAATATTCATTTTCTTATCCTTCCACCTTTGGAAATCTCAGAAAACTTGTTCATACATTTTGAGTACATACATACAGGTGATACAAAAGTTAGCATTAGAAATGTACTCTTAATTTTTTTTTACTTTTCTCAAAATGCAACAGACAAATAATTCCATAAGCAAAAATAGATGAATGAGATAAGACTCTTGAAGATTACCTAGACTTGAAGTGTCATTTCCTGATAACAGCAGATCATGAAATTGGTATTCGGTTTTGTGAAAAGGACAGCTCTGCCACCACGATGTCTTCTTTTTCTTTTGTAGCAGGCAAAAGGGCCTAAAATTGTTATGATCTATCAAGCTGGGTACCGGAACCCAATCTCCTTGTGAGTCTATCATTTTTGCCAAAGATTTAGTTGCATTATAAAATGACATATCTGAAGAAGAATTTTTTTCTAAGAGAAGGAATGAGGAAAGAAACAAAATCATAACTGAGTCTACATCATGCTAAACCCTAGTTTAAGAATGGACAAATTACAACAGTCTGGGTTCTCACCAACCCAACCTAACCCAAACAAATTATGATTTAGTTAATATTGAATCCATTCGATGAGTTGCAATTTGGAGAAATCTTTTCTCATGTTACCTTGTTACTTCCTAGGCTTAAAACATATATTTCTATTTGCATATTTTGTAAGCTCTGAAGTAATCCAATACAATATTACAATAGCTTTTCCCAAACGTGGGTAGTGGGCAGGGGTACGCTTCAAAAATTTCAGCAATGGGTTCTCTGCCCAGTTGCTGGGTGGCCGTGGCCATGGGGGTGTGTCCTACTCGGCTCCTGAACCACAGTGGGGGAGAGGGCATTTTCACCTTCCCCAGGCTCCAGAGACTTTCTTTGAGCCCCTGGGAGGACGAAAACTGCTTCCCCCAGGCTCTGGAGATCCGAAATGGCCCCATATCTGCCCCCCCCGAACTTCTGGGAGGACCATTTTTCACTCTCCCTGAGCTTCCACAAGTGTTCTTGCACTTACCTCGCATCCAAAACAGGCTGTGTGGAAACTCCTGGGTGGGGCGGGCAAGAGGCCAGAGCAGGGGTGGGATTTGGAGGTTCTCTGAACTGGCCATAACGTTAGCTACAGATTCTCCCGAACCTGTGCAAACCCATAACAGCCCACTCCTGGTAATGGGTTGTTTTTGGCGAACATATAGGACTTCAGGTGCTGCTGGATAACAACCACCAGTGCAACTCACCACTGTCCATATTATTTGGAAATGCTGGAAAGTTTTCATTGAATCATAGAATCATAGGGTTAGAAGGGATGTTGGAGGTCTTCTAGCCCAACCCCCTGCCCAAGGCAAATGGCTGCCCAATATTTTCTCGGAAATCTCCAGCAATGGAGCACACACAGCTGCGGGAGGCAAACTAATTATTTTTACAGTAAATTTCTCCTTAGTTCCAGGTGGGCTCTTTAATTAGTTTGCACTCATTGCTTCTTATCTTGTCCTCAGGTGCTTTCGGGAATAATTCGACCCTTCTTCTCTGTGTAGTTGCTCAAGTGCTGTTTACCTTTAGTCCTTATCTTCATTAGGCTAGACTGATTTCCCTTAATTGTTCATCATGCAGTTGAGCCTCCATACCCCTTACGATCCTTGTTGCTCTTCTCTAGCATTTCAGCTCAGTCTTTCCCTCCC